AGGGCAAAGAGCTGAGCCAAGGTGTTAGCTCTGGATATGATGGAGGAATGTGGGACCACTCCCTTCAATCCATACGTTTCGCACCCGGAGTATCTCGATGCAGAACGGTGCTCCCTTCCCAGAGAGCCCCAGATGGTAGGTTGGTGTGCGGTGGGCATCCCTCTCACATCTTTGCTGACCTTCCACAGGCTCCTTTTCTTGCTGCCTTTGCTTCTCCCTCCGTTTTCTTTCTTCTCTCCCTCAGGGTGAGGTGGGCGAGTCAGGCCTGCCCGGTGCGCGCGGCCTCCCCGGAGCTACCGGCCCCAAGGTAACCCCTGAACTCAGAGCCAGCGGGGCCATCTCCCACAGGCTGGCCAGTGGCCTGGAGACACGTGAAAGGAGCGCGGGAGGTCAGGGGCTGGAGGCAGTTCCCTAGAGCCTGGGATGAGCTGTGCAAACAGAAAATCTCACTCCTGTGTAAAGGCTCTGAGCAATTTTTGGCCGAGTTCAGCCCTGCACGGGCCCTTGTTAAAACCTGACCCAACCTTTTACATTAAGACTGGGAGGATGAGGGTGCTGTGGTTCATGAAATGGTTTGATGGTTTCTCTACACCCAAAACATGTAGCAACGGGTGACTCCCGCATCCACTCCTGGTGTTCCCAGGGAGGGGTGGGCTGCAGCCAGTGCTCAGCCTGGTGTTACCGGGAGCCAGTTCTCTCTGGAGGCCTGTGGCTGCATTTATCACACACTCCCTCCTCCGACTGCTTTCTCTTTGACCCTTGCTATTAGGATTGTGCTGCTTGCTTGATTTCTCTTCATGCTCACTGTCCAAACTCTCTCTGTTTCCTCCCTCTCCATTCTTCGCTGGGCAGGGTGAAAAAGGGGACGCTGGCATTAAGGTAGGCATGAGTTTATCCCACGGTAGATCACCCTCAGGATACTGCTCCGTGGGCTGGCGGGTTGTAAGAAGCAGTCGGGTCTGGGGCAGCTCCCGGGGGGCAGTTGATGGAGTACACATCTGTGCTCTGATTACCCACAGGCAGACACTCCAAGCTCAGGCAATAAAAGCAGCCTTTATCCATTGGGTGGAATTCGATTCTTACCAAAGGCATTTCTCTGATTACGAAGCTTGCTAATGATTTGTTACATCTCCCCATTTGATGGGCTGGGCTGGGGTTTCCTCATAAAATCTGGTTAGCTGACGCATCAAATCCACTCAAACTCCGCAGCGCGGGCTGAGGTTTGGCACCCGGCTTTTCTCTCTGTTTCTGGACACGTTTTACAGGCTCCTATGGCCTGTGCCCAGATGTTATCTGACTGAAATCTACTGTACCCCTATATTTAAAGTATATTGCTCAGTGTAGACTGTGCTTAAAGCATTACAGCATTGGCAAGTGTTCATGACATACTGTGTCATGCCATACATCTTAAACATCAGGAGGAAAGGCCGGTCCTGTAGTATTTTGAAAGGCATTAATAGTGACACACACATTTCAAGTATTCAGTATGTGGCGTGCATCTCATTTGTCGTGCAGCGTATACACTTCCTATATTTTTTCCATCTGGGTGGATTGCTATTTGAAGGGAGAAAAGGCCCCTTCAGAACCTCACATGGGTGTGTTACATCAGGTTTAAAGAAACGTTCTTTGGGAATGCGGGTTCTGGGTTACTAGTCAAATGGAACAGCAGTGACTGTCCTCCTACAAGAAAACAACACCTCCTCAGAAACCCTGCCGTGCACATGAAGTCCAAAGGTCCCCCCATGTCCCTCTTTGCATCAGTGTAATTCCAGCAAGCACAAAGGAATCGCTTCTGGTTTGTGCCCGTGTAAATGAAAGCAGAATTGCACCCAGAACTAAGGTGTTTTGGGGGCTAGGGGTTTGATTGCTGCTGTTCCAACAGCCAGGTGCTCTCCCATCGTGTTGAACTGGAGGACTGAAGTTGGAACGTGGCTTGGGAGGGAGAAAAGGCTGGGAGGAGAAGCTGCGTTCCACCCCCGCTTGTATGCCCGCCCTGCACTGCTAGCAGCCACCTGCTCTGCTTGCACCCGTGTACGAGGCCTGATGAGCCCTTGGTTTGGGATCTGCCAAAGGGGAAGTCTCCAAGGCTTCAAGGGATGTCACAAGGACATCCACATGCAAGAGCCTTCCCTGTTCAGCAGCCAGACATCACCCAGTCGCAGCTCCTGAGCATCCTCACAACGCATGCATCTGTTGTCTTTGGACACGGCTTCTTCCTGTCCTCCTCCCACCTGGGAGGATCATCTGAGACTCTTTTGATGTTTTCACCTTTGGATCCAATTACCTGGGCTAGATTTTACATTATTTTATTTTGAGGCATCCAGGACAAACGCAATCACTTGTACTTTAGCCGTTGTGGCCAATTGTGCACAGCAGTTTTGCTGGCAGCAAAGAACATTTTGGGCCTGAAGGGGCTTGCTGGTTTCACACAGACCCCTCGCTCACTTAACAACTGACACCCCCCCATCACCCAGTGACAGATGCAGCACAGCATAGATCCTCTCTTAGCTGTTTTCTTCTCCAGCCACCATTTTTACTTTGATCATACTAAGCCCTAATCTGTGTCCCACAAAGGTCATCAGACAACCAGTAAGGGTGATACCCGGGTCACTGGAACCAGCACTCGACTCGCTGCACCCCAGCCTATCCATCACCCTCAGCTTTACTGAGATTTTCTTCTTTATTGAAAGGTCCTTAGGAGGAGGCTTTTTGTCACGCTCTGGTTTCGGTGGGTTACTGCTGCCTGGCTGTGGTACCTTGTGCAGCCCTTCTCATGCCCAAAGGCCACTGGGGGGGTCACGGAGGGATCAGCCCCACGAGTACTTACTGCATTACAGCGGCTTTCAAATGTGTAAGCGTTTAAAGACGTTCTGGAAAGTCGTTTTTCCTGCTTATTCTCTGGCTTTGGGGCTTCTTTCTGCTGTTGAATGGCACAGTGTCACGTTTGGTGCTCCTGCTAATCCCTCCCACTCTCTAATTAGCTCTAGTGCCTGTGTGATCCTGCCGCTGACAGTGAGGGCTGCACAAGCGAGCAGCTGCACAACCTTATAGCACCTTCCAGTGCCTGAACGGGCTACAGGGAAGCTGGGGGGGACTTTTTACAAGGGGATGTAGTGACAGAACAAGGGGTAATGGGTTTAAATTGCAAGCAGGGAGATTGAGATTGGATATCAGGAAGAAACTCTTCCTGGAGAGGGTGGGGAGGCACTGGGACAGGTTGCCCAGAGAAGCTGTGGATGCCCCATCCCTGGAAGTGTCCAAGGCCAGGCTGGATGAGGCTTTGAGCACCCTGGTCTAGTGGAAGGTGTCCCTGCCCATGGCAGGGGGGGTGGGACTAGATGAGCTTTAAGGTCCTTTCCAGCCTAAACCATTCCGTGATTCTTGTGTGGTAGCAGGAGACAGAAACTCTGTTCCCTGCAGAGTCAGTCCTGCCATGCACAGCCGGCTTGAGAGGTACCACCGGTGGGATACGGCTCTGCTAGGGTAGCCAGCTTGGTGGGGGCCGGGGAGGGGGGGAAACAGCTTGTGCCCCTTTGCACCCAGGAGGCTTTCGCATCACCTGTGGCCCCAGCACCCCTCACAGCACCCCGGGAGGACTCATGCTGTGTCTCTTGCTCTCTTTCTCTGTGTTTCTCGCTCTGCTTCCAGGGGGAGAGAGGCATGCCAGGGCTGCCAGGAAGACATGGCACTAAGGTACCTTGTAAACAGCGGGGTGACGTTTGTCTGCCTGATCTCACCCGTACCACTCGACTGTCCCTGGTGCACAAGCATCGCCTGGATTTGTGTGTGTGTGTGTCTGTTAGTCGATGGCTATCCTCAGCTGAATTCTTTCCGCTTCTAAATTGCAAAACACAGGGCCTGATTTCTGAAGGAGGTGGTGGGGGAAGCAGCATCTTAAAGCAAATGGCATGCCCAGTCCGATGCTGTCTTGCAACAT